ATAAAAGAATGAGAATTAGAATTACATTAGGCTCTTCATAAAAAGTGGTCGGCAGATTTAGCAAATAAAAATATAGGACATCCAGTTAGATTTAAACTTGAGATAAATAAGTAATTATTTAGTGTAAGTATATTCCAAATATTGCAAAGGATATATTTACACTAAAAAAATTGTTGTTTGATTAAAATTTAACTGAGTATCCTTTATTTCATCCAGCAATCCTATAGTAGCAACACTGGATGTAACTCTCCATTAAGAACATGCAAGTAGTTTTATTTACCTTTCCCATATCTCAGAAATCAACTAAAACAACCAGGAGAAATAAAACAACAACAAAACACCCTGCCCTGCTATTTTTAGCAACTATTTTGCTAAATAAAGCAACCAATAAAATCTGCAGAATCCAAAGACTTTTAAAAGTTTCTAAAAAGAAGTTAAATTGAGAAGAAAATGCAAGGGGAATGTCAAGGTACCTCATGAGTGGCTGATCTCGGGAAGTACCAGCAAAAGTACACCTCCCGAAAACGAGAAACTCACCTAAAATTGCAAAATCTATACCCTATAAATCCTACAACAGAGGAGTGAAGTAAGCTGAGCTTCAGTGGAAGAGAGGAGGTTGGGATGCAGAGACAAAAGGCACGGAAAACATCTATAGGGCTCCTAGCAGCAGATCTCAGAAAGATCCAGGAAAATCATACCCCCTCAAGGGGATGGGCTTATCTGGAGGTCCAAGGGCTTTTTCCTCTGCTTTCTGCTGCTGGCGAAGGACCTGGGGATGCAGGGCTGGTGATAGAAATCCTTCCAGATTCAGCTTAGGTCAGAGAACCAGAAGAAGCAGGGCTACACAAAAAATTTCTGAGGATTCATACCCACCAGATGAGTAGTCTCCGTAACAGCAAAGAGAGGGCCGTTGAAAGGTTTGACGCCTGGAAAAGAACCCTGGCCCCTCCCACCATCCATGAATCCACATGCAAATAGCTGGACCAGGATAAACCATGTCATTAAAAAACATGTTCAAGAAAGACTATAGCACAGCAGCAGTACAAGATTTTATAAGAAAAAATGTCAAAGAACAGATGAAAATGCTGACCATGCATTCTGCCATGGGGTAAAAATGTTATTGAACAAACTATCATCTCTATGTAAGAAGTCCACAGAATATGTTGAAACTCAGACATTAGCAAATTTTTCTTTGGCACTTTGCTGCACTTCTGTAGGCTTAGAAATTCCTCCCCTTCTGAGAATATAAAAATATTCATTTTTAAAAATCATAGTCCAATTTTTACTTGTTATTAATCTGAAATTATTTATGAAATATGGTTTGAAGAATATAATGTAACTATTTTT